TGTGTTTTAGCCTCTCCTCTTCCTCATATCACTATCTAGACTGGACAACTGCTCTACAACAGTGATCAAAGACAACATTAACTCATTGTCAGAGATGTTTACAGATCCTTGCAAGTTATACAGTCACTAAGAAGTTACAGAGCGTTCCTTTAAGTAAATGATTTCTTACAGAAGTACCTAGTCTGTACTCCTAAAATGGCCTGCTAGTTAACTGAGGGATCAACAAATTTTACGTGGAAGCTGGGTAAACACAGGTGGGAATAGTCTTGTAGAATGGGAAGGATACAGAATCCAAAGTAATCTGGTGAGAAAGCCCTGGAAAAAGCTATACTGAGGGGGCAGGCACAAGTGTTGTGATAGTATCTACAAGGAACTCTTCATGCTAGATTCTGGTTTCTCTATCATTCACTAAAATTACTTTTTGTATGGGAACTTTGGCTGAAGAGGAAACTTGGCTTTGAACCCACAGTTCTCAAATGCTCTTAAATAAGGTGCAGAGGATAGAAACTAGACAAGTGCTGCTTCTCTCTCGTTGCAGGTGGTGCATTTCTAGTCTTGGAGCTTGTCTGGGAGCAACTCTGATCTTTGCTTACAAAATATTATAAAGTTATTTCATATTTTTATCTAGGTGAAAGTAAAGAAGACTGACAGCATATAGAACTGAGCAGCAGGTACAAGTTCTTTGTGAAGATGGGAGAATTAAAGACATCAAATATAGCACAGATTCTGGCAGAATTTAGTTAATGTAAAACTTATGCCATTTCTACTGATCTTCAACTGTGTTGAAAATGCCCTTTTTTCATTTTCCATTACAAAAAAAATTGTCTTTTACCGTACCCTTGCTGTATCTTTGCATGTAGGCTGTAATAACTTCAAAATCACACAGATTTTTCTTGTCCTTTCTGTGATTTTTCTTTTCAAATAAAGTTTTGTAGCATAACTACAGTAAGGGTGTGGATGTGTTACTATGGCCAGGTGTAGGAACCAAGTCAAAAGTCCTTGTTATTATATGGCCTTTCTCTGTAGGGATCTGTTATGGTGTGTGTGGCTGCTTTGGAATGTTTTTTGTAGATTGAAGAGCTTGAAACTCATAAGTTGTTTGTGAATTGCAATTCAGTAGAACAGTTTCACTGTAAAAACAGCTAGTTCAATGACTCTAGAACCATAGCATATGGTTTGCAACTCTTTAACAGGACAGTATATTCTTGCTTAGAGTATGCATGAATGAAGAGCCAACAAGTTTCTGAAAACTTCTGTTATTTCATGTAAAAACCAGAGTTAAATTGGTATATTATGTCATTCACAAAAAAAAAAAATTGTCCAATCTTTCTGGCCTTAAGGAATAGTGAGGCATTTTACAATGTATGAAAAAGTATAGTTAATTTTTTTACTGTATTAAAAAATGACACCACCGATTCCCATGGTAATTTCAAATTAAAACTGTTATTTCGTGGAAAAATGTATTTAAATTATGTGACAGAGAAATCTGTATTACTTTAGGCAAGCAGCCAATTTATGACTTTTAAGTATATTGTCAAGGCAATTTTATTGTACTCATGAGAATATTTGTGCTGAAATTATGCATACTTCCCTAAAAGCAATAAGTTTTGAGCAATATTTAACTTAGAGGTAAAGAACCAATTAATATTTGTACTGCTAAGTGTGCATTTTTTTTTTGCTCTTCATGTATTTACCCTGCTTTAATAATAGATGAAAAAGAGTTATCAGTAGGATTTATGAAGTGTCTCCAGATAAACTACTCAAAAATTTTATAATAAATCCAATGAGAGAGATCTGAGATGTATGGAAAATACTGCTCATGAATATATCACAAATCCTTTAAAAAAATAAAAAAATGTGATCTCAGGTCTAGTTCTCTTAAGATTAGTGTGGAAGTTACCACTGTTCTCAGAAGACAAATTGGAATGTACAGTGTATTATTGTAGCCCAAATTTAGATAATGACAGTAATTAAAAGGCTTGATTTTTGCCTTTTTTTACATTAATGTGTTTCAGTCAGTGAAAATGAAATGAGTTCTGGTTGTCTATAAAAGAGAATGCAAGCTAATTACATTCCCTGTAACATCCCACCATTCTGTTATAATGTTATTTAATAAACATTTACGGCGTGGGTTGGAAGTCAAAGCAAGTCTAATACTAAGAAGCTTAGAATGAACATGATTGAATTCAAATGGGACCGTCAACTTTACATGGAAATCCGTGATTATGCAATAAAATTCATGTAGTGAGTCCTTGATACACACATCAGAAAATCTCCTAACAACATTGGGAGCTGAATATTAGCTATTTTTACTCTGTTTCCTTTATAAAATTAAATGGAAACATTTGGAAAATCTTCTATCAGAGACTAAAAAATCCCAAACAAACCTACAAAAAGTCCCAGAACAAACCAAAAAAGCCCAACAAAGCAAGAAAAAAAAGAAAAGCAAACCCAACCCGAAACATACCACCACCACCAAAATAAAATAAAATAAAATAAATAAATAAAAGCACATGAAAACCCGAACAACAAAACAGTGGCTTTCAGGCAGTGGAAATGTTTGAGTATTTTATTCATAAGCCCTTGAGCAAACATAAATCTGCTTAGATCAACTAATGGCATGCAAATGAAGTTCACTTAAAAAAAAAATAGTTCCTACTCTGAATACTAACTAATACCTCATAGAGAGACTATAAAAAATCTTAAGCATCTGTTGGAGTTAATTGGGGCGTACTCATGAAACATATCTCTTTTTTTGACGTGTGCTATAACCTGCCTTTTTCATGGCAGAGGATGAATTTCAGCATGTTTCTTATAATGTAACTTCAGCTTTTTAAATTGCTTTTTTCCAACTGAAATTCTAAACCCTAAGTGTTCTGTAGGTTAACTTTTTAAATTATAAGTGGTTGAGATCAAAACTGTGCTCTGAGACATGTCTGTGTAGGTCCTGTAAATTCTAAGTAGGCAGCTCCTATATTTTTTGGTTATAAGCAGAAGGGTGGAATAGCTTCCAAGATATACTTTGCATTTCTTTTTCCTATTGGTGAATTTTTTATGGACTCCCATTTCTTCTCCATATAAGTCCAGAGTATATTTGTATATTTGCCACAGGATTGTCAGGGACATGAATCCCCACCTGCAGGTCTTTCTTTCTGTTACCATTACAGGTATCCTACCATGAGTAGCTTTCCAATTTGTGTACTCTAATGAGTAATCTAAATTTGGTGTGATGAATCTGGGAAAAATAACACTTATGACACCATGAGATTTGTTTGTTTAAAATCAGTCTGGCAAAGCATTTAATCATGGACTTTTTTACTGCTCAATAAAGCAGTTAATCATATTTTAAAGTACAAGTCTGGATCGAACTGCATTATTGAATCAGATCCTTTGAAGTTCACTGACCTGTAGTAAACTGGGAATTTCATAGATGGCTGTACAATTAAACTTTGACTTCAGGAGGCATTTAGGTTTAAATTTCTCATTAGAAAGTAATTTCAAAGTGAGTTTTTTTCCTCCTGACAAATGCAAAGAAACTGTGAAGAAGTTAAAGAAAAATCTTATTTTACAATTAAAATCAAATTCTTATGCACAATTTTTCTCATTTTTTTCTTTGCTTCAATGAGAAGTATATTGATTCATAGCTGCGTGGTCAGTTAATTTTTGAACCTTCAATAAAATTTCTTTCACATTTTCTAGGTTCTATTCATATGGAAAAAAAAAATCTGTTTTTTTTTTTTGTCCCAGTCTTCTGAATTACCTTTAAAAAGCTAAAGGGAGACAGAAACATGGATAGAGTTATGTTCTATAAAATCCTATTAGTACTGAAAGCTCACTCTGTTGATGGTTAAGTATTAAATTTGGCAACCACTGAATCCTTTTTCACACCAATAAGTGTGAAGAAAGTGACTTTTATGGACGGTAATAGAGACAGAATCACAAAAAATAGATACTGGGAGTCCTATTCAATTACCAAGAATACCCCTCTGCTTACTGTAGTGTACTCATTACTGCTGGAATGATGATTGAGATTCCCAGTTGCCATATATTGCCATGGCCCCACTGGAGTCTGCAGTACTTTTTTCGTTCATGTTATTTGAATGTTTGCCTCCAGATCTGATGATATAAAACAATATCTGATGATATAAAACAATCTGGGAACTGGAAACTTCATTTAAATTTAATTCTCAGTATTTATATAAAAAATATATTTTACAAGCTGAGCTTTGCTAGGAGCACTACAATAATATATGAGTATTTATCTGTCTTGTTCTGTATTGGATATGTTTGTAACATTTTCCAGAGGAAGAGAGCAAAGAGACATATTTTAAAACACAAATTCAGGGGCCTACGTACATTATCACTATCAAAAAGTGGATTGAGGCTCTTCTTTGAGTATCAGATTCCAGCTATGCCTCCTGAGGAATCTGCTCCCACAGTCAGACATGATTAATCCTTCACTTATTGTGGATTTTGGAAATTGGAGATTTGAGAAAACCCAGTACTCCTCTATCTAGGCTTCATCCTTCCACTTTACTCTCAGGATTTTGCTCATTGTAAGGCTGGAGCAGCATGGATATCCAATGTATTTAATTGCTTCCTAATATAATAGACTTTCCTGCACTGGGCTTGGTGGTGGTGAGAACTTTGAAAGATCAGGTTTTATTCTCATGACTCAACTAAATCTGACTTGGGAGGTCTGTAGCCAGTTTGGAACTGGAGTGTTTCATCCTGTGAGCAGCAACCACATCCATCTGTTTCATCATGTAAAGACCAGAGACAAACACTTTGATGGTGATGGTCGATGTATATCACGATATAACAGAGCGATGTTTTGCATGGGTGGTCTGAATGAGAGGTTTACACGGACACACTACACAGACAGCATCTCAAACCAACACTTCAGCCAAACAATTAGGGTACAAATGATGTATGCAACATGGTCGTACAACTGCACATCACACATACATGATGCAGAGATGGCTATGGAAAATACTCACTTTTTCACTTGATTCTGCTTCCTTTTGGCTTCTGCACCCCTTTGGTGCATAGCAGGGAAGTAGGTATTTGTGTTTAGTGGAAGAAATTACACTGACTAACAGACACAAGCATTTTACTCATAAATTTATCATAGACTATTGCTGAGGAGACTGACAGACAGCCACTACAAATGGTGTATTAAACATTTAATGAACCCAGGCTGAACACCTGTCCCTGTTGAAGCAAATGGAAGTTTTGTATGTTAATTCTTTTGCATGTTTAATTTTTTTTTTTAAGTGCCGTGAGGTTTAGAGGGGACAGCATTCTGTGCTGGTTTCTAGTTGCTTTTTAATCGCTTAGTAGAAAATTAGAAATGATGCCTTAAAGGGAGCATCTTTTTCCTTTATGCAATTACTTCATAGACATTAGAGTTCACCACGAGCAAAATATGGTGCTCAACAGGGGCTGAGGAGGAGGTGCCAGACCTGGTTTCCAAATTAGTAGATGGTATTTCTAGAATGTGTATTAGTGCAGCACATCTGCTATGCTCTGAAAAAGAGGTACATCCTGGTGTGTGTGCATCTTAAAACTTTCTAATAGTACTGTCATCGTTATCCTAAATCATCAAAGGAGTAAAACAGGATTGTGGATTTTGTTTAAGGCTCTCACATAAAAACAACTTCCAGCGATTTCCATTAAACCTCCTGATGAGTAGGAAGTATTTGTGTGCAGTAAATATCAGCAGTAAACTAAATGCACTTGCTTGGGGAACAAATTCATGTACGTGAGCAACATAAGGGAATAAAATCCAATCTTGTAACAAGATGGCTGTGCTGTGATTTACAGTAGTGTTCAGTTACTGTCTTTAAGAAACTAATGGAACCACCAAATGTTTGGTGGCTACTCCAAGGTGTGAATAAGGTTTAGTGTGAGGATGTTATGTCCTTTCTTCGTCTGAAGTTGTAGAATGAAAGCAATGAGATGTGCAAATCATGTATTCTGATCCAGACCAGGAACAGAATCCCAGTGAGAACTTAGGAATGGGATTTGAGGTATTGAAAATGATACTATTGCGAACTGACTGTTTCTTATTTTACATATGCATTGATGTGAATATTTTATATATGAATTGCAAATGAGTATTTGTGGCACGAATATCGATGGCATGGATTAGAAACATAATTTTAAGTCGGTTTAAAATAACTTTTTGGTGACTGAAACTGGGGGAAAAATGCATCTCTGTTTAATTTTTCACGTGGAAACATCTAGCCCCCCCATTACTTTCCCCCGTCAGTGAAGCATTGGGATGCCCCTGGCGCAGGATGCCTCGCGTGGGGCGTGGGACTCGCGCAGCGCCCGCGGCCTCCTCAGAGCCCCGCGCTCCGCCCACCTGTGATGCCACAGTGAGGAGGGGCTTTTCTTCTGCAGACTCCTCCCTCGGAATCTCCTTCATCACCATGGCCACAGCCTTATCGGCCGCCCTAGCGCCTTTGCCCTACAACAGCGAAATCAACAATGGCTCCAGTCAGCAGCGAGCGGGAACCGCCGCCCCCCGCGCACACGCACCCCAAACCATCCCGGTGGGACACCGGCGGCGCCTGTGGCTGGAAGCGAAGCTTGGTCATAAGCAGAATACACACACACTGGTGCAAAACAAGGATAATAACAAATTATCTGTGAACCCGGCAGTTAAGGAGGCAGTTGGGGTCTAACCGTGGTCTGGTGGCTCCTTAGAGTTGCCCCAGTGAAGTCAACAGGAATTCGGCATTGCCCCGCTGAGGCAAGACCTGCTGGAAGTCCTCTGGTGGTAGGATAGGATCCCCATAGGATTAAGGGCTGGAGGATCAGCCCCTTCATTTAATTTTAGTTACCCCAAAATTTATATCCAAAACACCTGATTTTTTCCATTTGATTTGGGTTTTTTTGTTTTTTTTTTGTTTGTTTTTTCCCCTCAAAAATAGCATCAAGTTGATTTTGCAAATAAAGCACAGTTCCTTGTGGTTCACTGAGGCAAACTCTCCCTGAAATTTGAATGTATAATCTGGACCCACAGTGTTTATAGCTCTAGTAACATTTTAAAAAGCAATTTACATCATATAAACAGTCTGTGTTTTTGCTAAAAGAACATATGGAGCCAAATCCTGCCGTCATAGACATTGCAACAGCTCTCCCCAAAATGATCATTGTTGTCGAACTTATTGCGAGGATTCTCTTTTAAAATTTCACTTTTCTTAAAACTCACTGAATATATTGTAAATATTCAGGACAACGTTAAGATATGCTAACATTATTTAATATATATTAGCCAAACAAAAAAATGCACCGTTATGTGCCATGCTCTGTTTGATGCTCCTCATTTTTATTTAATGAGGATATTTATCATCTTGAATTCTCATCGATTTCTATCTTATCTTTCATCTTATTTGATCTCCACCTCTTGCAAGTCACAGAGAAAGTTGGAGTGGACATAAAGCATCACAGCAGAGCTGTGTTGTGCCAGTGACCACGGGCATGTCCTTATTATTATACTTTAAAAGCTTCCACTGATTTCCATGGAAGTTTTGACTGTGCACAGAGTGCAGGATCTGGCTCCATAAAAGAAGTATTTTACACTGGACTTAAATATATCTAAATACTTAAAAGTCTGTTAACAGAAGGGGTGCTTTAGTATGACATCATATCCAAGAATTACTTTCACTAGCAGTGTATTCTGTGTCAGATAACCCCCTGCTATTGCTTATACTGAGCTACACGATGTTTCAGAAAAAATTCATCAGTTGCAGGTAAAACCATTACGAACTATTGCAGGTTCTAAACAGACTTTATTAATTGTCAGGTCAATATTAGATTAGCTTGCTTGTGCAACACATCACAGGTACCCTACAGAGAGTTCTTTGCATGCTGCAAGAAATTCTCAGAGCAGAAGTGTCACAAATGATAAGCATGCTGGATTTGTGATGCCTTTGATATCCAAAGAACTGCAAAGTCACTGTAAAATTAAATACATTAAGTTCAATGAGAATTACTTCTAATTGGTAAGCATATCAAAGGTTCTTGGCCAATTACGTGTTTGTTCATGATTCATATGACATATTCCAGGTCTATGAAGCTCGTTTCCAGTATGACACATGAGCTATCGTTAGCTAGCACTAACAGCATGCTACTGGATCTTTACAAAATGTGGTCCTTTTGTGCTGAGTGATAGAACAAAATAGTTTATCAGCTAGAGAGGATGCATTGGAAAGCATGCAGTGCTTTTTATTTCTTGCAGAGTAAAAACCCACCAAAGCAAAGGTCAGGTCACTTTTTTGAAGACAGAGCCACTTTTTCTTCAAGGTTTCACCTACTGCCTGAAAAGAGTCATGATACTGGTATTAGTGCCTGCTGTTAATCTTCCGCACACGTACTGCAAAACCCTGGGAGTAGTTGACAACATATATAAGATCTGTCTCATCAGTTTGAAGTGGGTATGGGACAATGGGGAATGGATACCTCTGTGCTATTTTTTATGTGCAGACTTTGTATATTTGCCAGTCGAAGCAAGTGGTTCGATGCTACCTTATTTTTTTTTTTAGTAGATCTTTCTTTTAACTTTCCTAAAAGATTGTGTGTAAGGTTGACTTATTGCTGGCTACTCAACCTATGGTATGTAAAATATGGTTTTGAAACTAGAACTTAGTAGCAATTTCCTGGATACCAAAGAGAAAGCCAATGCAGTGGAATAGCTTAAATTCTCAGATTCTGCTGGAGAGATACACAGGTGACCAATTCATTGGAAAATGCAGTTTTTTATTCTGATGATATGGATATTTTTGTCCAATGTAAGGTATGTAAGCTGGAAAATTTTGGTCTCTATTCACTGTAGTGAACACTATGTAGTCAATCCTTGCCTAAGACGTGATTAGGCAGAAGAATTGGAGAGCAATAAAAACAGTTCTTCTATGGTCAGGACAACCTTGTTATTGTTGTGAACTGCAGTTGAAATGAAAATCCCTAGCACATTTATTGCAATAATCATTGAAGAATTATTATATTTTTCAGGTGCTATTTACTTGACCTCCTTCAATATTAAGTGCTGTTTCTTAGCAAACAAAAATGCTATATGAATTTATCTGGTACAGTAGTTTATTGCTCAAACCCTGTAATTCTGGAACAGCTAATTTTACACTTGCCAGGACTTTAAAATGAAAAGTTTTTTGATAGTGGAGATTTGCAAGGTAAGTTACTTTCTCATGTCAACATCAATTTAATAATTTAGTAAATAAATTTTGTAATTCCCTATTTGTTTGCAATATATAGATGGAAAAAACTGTGATGCAGAACATGAAAACCCATGTACAAATCAAGACAAATGTGAATTGATGATGGAAAAAATATATTATTTGTTTTAATGGAACATACTTCTTGAGAAAAACTGAGAAACACACCAGCATTTCCTTATTTAATACAATAAAATGCAACAGTTCCTTTAGGTGGTATCTCCAAAGCAAAATAAGGAGTAGAGTTAGGAGTATTCCCTTGATGCTAAATATTTATAAGACAATTGGCTTCAAAACTTAATAACAATTTCTCTAGGTTTATCTATAATGGATAGGAGTAGGTATTTCAAAACGAGTATGATGATTTAGTAGGATTTTGTAAGGAAATACTCTATTTTTTGGAAGCTGCTGTTTCTGAATAGTTCCAAACTCAATTTTGTACCAATCACACTATTTAGATGTAGTTCTTAGTAGTGAGTATTTAATGAAATTACTGTAAGAGCATATTAATGTAAATTTCTAGGACAGCAGTTGTTTTTTTAATCAGTGGTGCATACAGGTTTGTAACCATGTTCATGTACAACAAAGCTATTCTCCTTTAAATACATGGGACCAACAGATCATCTTCAGGTCATGATGGGCAAATGAGTTAGAATGAACACATGGTCAGACTTGAGATATTACTATATAGTGAAATACTATATAATTCTCTAATTATTTTCTTCACTATTGTGATTTGCAAATTTGTTCTTCTATATGAAAAGCCAGTAGCCAGTGTTTTGTAAATGTTTAACATTTTGACAACAGTATTTAAACTGAAATGATTAACTGCAGAACTTCTTTGTCATCATCTAGGCAATCAAAGGATTTTTATTTAAATCCATATCATTGTTAGAAGTTTGTTCTTGACGAATATTAAGGTACTTGAGTCCCAAACTCACTTTTCAGGAATATTTATACCACCTATTCTTGTGAGAAAGTGAACAGAAAGAAATGGAGCGATTAGATTTTTCTTTTTTTAAAAAACTATGTATACATCGAGAAAGAAATTCTCTCTTTGTATAGACCTGTGCTGTTCCATTTATTTTCCAAGATTCTACTACGGAGTTTCAGCTTTAATTGACACACTACAATGCACCACTATTCCCTGAGCCATTGGAAATCATCTCAACATGGGCACGTCTAAGATTTTGTAAAATAGAATTTTCAAGACAGCTTTCCTTGTAAAGGAATTCGATATAAAAAGGTGTTCTGCAGACAGTGCTGATACAGGTATGACAGAATTACTGATTTCATGTGTCCTCTCTCCTTTCTAGTTGAGGATAAACAAAGTAACACCTTGTTGTTTATGAATACAATGAATATAATTCCATATAATTTATTGATATAATGCTGAAAAAAGTGACTATCTATCCTGAACTTTCCCATTGGGCTATTGAATAGTAGTGTTTAAAAACACAGAAAAACAACAAAACCCACCAGTCCAGGATATCTTGAAGCATCATTCTGCTCTTTAAAAATCTTTAATATGTTGGGAAGGTTTTTACAAAACAAACTTTACGAAAGTTTAGTAATAACTTTAAGCTGCAGTAGCTGTCATCCTCCTGTGCTGGGAGAAAGAACAGACAGAGCTGCTGTATGTGTTGAATTTGGGAGGCTTGGCTGCTCTCCAGATCTCCCAGCAGCTGATGTATTAGACTTACAGTACCAATTAAGCAGCCTATTCAAAATGGCTTTATGCTCCACAAATCTTCGTGGTTTGTGCAATTTAAAAATAACAAACGAAGGGACTAACTTGGCTTTACTGTTTTAAATTGTGCAGTGCTAAGATTTCTACCTCTCAAAATGAGCACACGCAGCTATGCCATGGCTCCAGGAGAGCTCAGGTGTCCACAATACAACAGTGAGCTCTTGATTTCACATAGGATCTGGTGATTGCTTCATATTTTTCCCTCCTCAGGCTTTTCTGTTCATGTTTTCCCCGTATGTCTTTCTTTTAATCTCTACTTTTCTGTTGTTTTCTAGTGATGTTGTATCTTATATATGACTAAAAACAGCGAGAAAACATATGGTGAGGCAGTTCTGTGAACCAATACAAGATTGATATTGAAACAGAAGATTCTGCTTCATCAGAGCTCTTGACAGTTTTTTATTATGAGCTTAATAAAGTGAGGTACATATTTAAGGTCTATGAGAACATAATTCCTTCAGGCAGTGCTCAGTTGACTGTGGTGAGAAAACACATGAACAAGCTCTGTGTCCTGAACTGGGAACAGTGTTGTCAGGGACAGCTTTCAGGACCTGAGCTAGTATTTCCATATTGTACTTGCATCCTTTGGAACCTCTTAACAAGCTTTCTGTTAGGGATGATCCAAGCTCTTTTGACTCATGACCTTTAGGAGTTCATTCTTATAAGATTAGGATGAAACACAGTGTTGGCTACGGAGAAGGAAGCAGTTATAGGAAGGCTTGCCTGAGAAGCAATTTACAGTAAGGCAGCTAAATCCACATTGGCTGAGTTCAAAGTGTGCTACTCCCCTTTCATTCCTTTTTTTTTTTTCATTCTTACACTGATGGAATAACAGATTTCAGTATTTAAGTTCTAATCTGATCTTATCCTACAGTTACAATTGTATGAGAGTTTGAAGATCATTTAAGATCATTTAAAAGGGAAGACTTTACTGCATACAAGAAAATTGGCAAAGGAAGAGACAAGAGCTAATAAAAGGTAATTCACATAAATATACACATTTACCCTCATTGGGTTGTGTCGTGTCCATTTAAAAGTCAATACTGTAGTTAAATTACATTCCAGTTTAAGAAGCATTTGCATTGAAATGGCACTGTAAGTTTTCTGTTAATTGACTGTCAGTAACTGTTGCATTATTTGTGCTCCCTTAAAAATTGTCTAATTCTGGAGCCTGTAGATTGGTTCTGAAGGCCAAGTGGGACAACTTCCAAAGCATCTCTCTACAAGACCCATTTTGCCTTTAAGAACTTGTGCAAACTTATCGTACTTAGTGCATCTGAACACAAATTATGACTGGAAATTAATGCACAATTCTGTCAAATCTCAGTCATTCTCTGCAAACTTGTATGATTCCTTCAGGTTAATAGGAGGAGTAGGATGCAAAACTAGTTTTTTTCCCTCTTAAGACAAAATTTTTTTATTTGGAGTGTATGTTTTGAGCAAGATAACACTCTGTAATGTTGGAACAATAATGATGATGTAAGTGTAAATAGTAAATCCAGCCTGGAATATAGAGAAAGGTTGGTAAGAAGAGGGAGGTCTGGGACAGAACTAACTACTTAAAGGTTGTTTAAGGTTCTGGTCCTTTTCTGAAGCAGTTATGTAATATATCTGCTTGTGATAGAAGGCTTGGATGAGAGGTTTTGCACTCCCTTCTTTCTGTGTGTCATCTTTTAATAAGACCACTGTGAATATGTAGTAACTATTTTTTTAGCCCTGATTTTGTTGACTTCTTGGCAATTTGGACCTTCATTATCAAAGGGGTGAGTCCTTTGACTGCACGATGGTGTATGACTTGAAAAATTTTAGGGAGTAGCTGCAGAATTTCTTTCATCTCTGCTTAGTCTGTGCCAGGGAACTCTGCGAAATCACTGGATTTAACAACTAGCAATTTCAAATTTGTTTGGTAGTCCTCAGCAGAGAGTTAATACTAAAGTATTTTCTCTCCCATAATTTGGATTCATTTTATGTTGACTTCAGTATTATGAGCCCCAGGCGTAACACACACATAACAGAATTAGTTACTATTAATTGCTATGAAAATGCACGTACTGAATTAGAGTAAGACATTCCTCTAGTATTAGGTCAAGTGAAATTCAAGGAGGTCAGATCACTTTGAAAACAAACAATTGGTGACTAATGTACTGTCTGTTGTTTAAATGTGTGTTTACTGCACACATATTGTGTGAACGATGAGTTTTGCTCAGTCACTTCCTCCCAGCACATGATTTATTGTTCTTTGAAGTGGTAGGGGCTTCTCGCCTCCTGCTACACAATTTTTATGGTTCTGTTTCATCAAATGCTCAGAGAACACTGACTAAGTCTGCAGTCTGTTTAGGAC